GGCGCTCCACAACACCATGGTACTTCATTGAGAACTACAAGCCAATAGCCACCAAGGCTATCGAGACTTGTAGTTTCTCATTCACAGAGGCCTGTGAATGAGTTACACAGCTGGGCAGGCAGAGCCCTGCATGGCCACGTTTTTTTTAAAATTTGATAGCTAGCGGGGGAAGAGAAGATCCCCTGCTAGCTATCAAAGCTAGGGAGTGGGGGCCGGTGCATTCATAACACGTTACATGTTACATCCTGAATATGGGTGTAACATGTAACATGTTATGAAAGGTGAACGTATCCTTTAAGTGAACACGCTCAGTCATTTCTTTTAAGTAGTCCCATAATGGGAACATGCTATTTAAATAGACACTGTCACTGTGAAGTCAAGTGACAGCTTATATTTTAAGCTGCCACTGATACATAACCTTCTGATGTTCCCCTGCCACTTCTTCCTCCATTACACCACAGGAAAAATACACTGTTCTAGAGCCTGAAAAGAGCAGTGATGTCATGTCATGTTGCACTGCTCAGGCCAAGGAATTGACCTCTAGGCCTGAGCACTGTATCATAGGAGGAGGCCACATGCTCCTCCACTGAAGAGGTGACTATCAGTGTGTGCATGTCTGTTGGGCGGGAGGGTTGGTTTACACAAACACTGTTACTTTGCCTTGAATGAAAGAATAACTGTGGGCAAATCTATCAAAGTGGATGTGTTTTTAAAAAGAAACTAAAATGGTTTCTGCCCAACTTGATTGTACAATTTTTGTGAATGTTTCAATGTTTTCAGAACCCATCCTTTGTGTCGCTTCTTGTATTTTTTTGTACATCTTTCCTTTTCAAATAAACATGTCATACAAAATGCGTCCATGACACTCAGATCAAAGAGCACTGGGCCCAACATTGCCAGCTCACTTGCTGGCTGTCCCTGTCTAGCTGAAAATCCAGACCGGAGCTGCTTCTGTTAAATAAGAGGGAGAGTAGGTATTCAGTCATTTAGCTGTGTATGTGTATTGCATTCTCTTGCTACTCAAGACGATGCACAACAATACATAACACAATATTTTATATGCAATATTTCATACTTACCTATGGAACAATAAACATATTCAAACCTTTTGTTTTTAACTTCTAAACATAATTAATATATATAAAAAAAAAATTTTATATTAATTTTCAAAAATCTATAAGGTCCTCGCGTCCATTCAAAACATTACCGCCATGTATGCACAGAGAACGGAGTAAATCTGATATGTTTCAGGTTTGCCAAATTCCTATTCCTATACATTCCAACATTTTTTGGTAAATTGTGCATGAGCCTAGAGTATATTTTTACATTTTTTACTGATGCACATTTTAAAGCATAATAGTGGCCCTTAATGTCGTTTCAGAGATTTCAGTCAAAGCATATTATTAAAAAAACAGAACAGATTCAAAGTGCAATGTCCACATTCTTTCTGTGTGATTTACCAACACGTTTTTCATACAGGCCGTGAAGCATCACCAGTTAGAATAACAGTCTCCGGCATCTGCAATTATTGTTGCTAATGATAACACGGTGTAGCTCCCATTACTGCAGTTACACTCTTTAGTGCTGCTGATACATTATGCTTTTTTTTTTTCTTTCTCTTTAGAGCATTAAACCATTCTGCCCAAGCATGACATGAGCCATAGCTTTTCACTGTAACTAAAATTAACTAGAACTTATCTCTTTGCAGTTGCTGCATACACTTTGTTTAATCTCAGCGAAAAGGATTAACACAAATATTTACAACAGATCGTTTGAGTACTGCAAGGCATCTCAAGGAACGAGCTATGTAAGTTCCCATCTAGGAACATGGGATATCACTCTCAAAGCTACTTCCAAAGAATTATTTTAGTTTCATAAAGTATTTTTGTATTTGTAATTTATTCTGGTATACCTTACCCATGTTTTGCAGTTAGTTACTAAAGTGTTCCTAGGACATGTAACTGAGTATAATTTTTTAAAGGCTCTCATAAATCTTAAATGGTGGTGAGATGTTGGCAAATTACCTGGCTGACTAAATATTTTAGACAAGTACACTAATATTCTGTTGTCCACCATGCCATTTTGCAACACAGACACCCTTGGAACCCTTGGAAAAATAAGCTAACAAATTAAAATAATTCCCCCCAAGAGAATTCTACTAAGGATGTCAAAAGATAATGATCCACAAACATCCAGACCATCACCCAGTATTGATAATCTAATGGTTATCAATACTTAAAGTAGTGGTTGCAGTGGAATAACATCATTACAAGATGTCTCCAATTTACAAGCCAACCTCAATGCACTGTTTAATTGAGCAACTATGTGGCAAATGAGGTTTAATGTTGATAAATGTAAGGATCTGCACTTGGGGGCTAAGAATATAAATGCATCATACATACTAGGGGGAGTACAACTGGAGAATCAATGGTGGAGAAGGATCTGGGGGTTATGGTATATCATAAGCCTAATAATGGCATGCAATGCCAAGCTGCGGTTTCTAAAGCGAGCAAAATCCTCTCTTGTATTAAAAAAGGTATAGACTCCAGAGAGAGAGATATAATTTTACCCCTGTACAAGGGCAACCAAACTGATAAGAGGCATGGAGGAGCTCAGCTATAAGGAATTGAATTTATTCTCTTTTGAGAAGAGGAGATTAAGGGGGGATATGATCAACATGTATAAATACATCAGTGGTTCATATAGTGAACTCGGTGTAGAGTTATTCACCTTGAGGTCATCACAGAGGACAACGGGGCACACAGGAGGAAAATAAATTTAATCTCCAAATATGGAAAGGTTTCTTCACAGTAAGTTACATAGTTACATAGTTAGTCTGGCTGAAAAAAGACAAAAGTCCATCCAGCTCAACCATAAAAAAAGTTATACACCTATACCCACAATTGATCCAGAGGAAGGCAAAAAAACCCAGCAAAGCATGATCCTATTTGCTCCTGCAGGGGAAAAAATTCCTTCCTGATCCCCCGAGAGGCAATCGGATATTCCCTGGATCAACGCAACCTATAAATGTTGGATACACAGAATATAACTGGATACTAAGAAAGAATCCAGGATTTTTTTAAAGCAATCCACTGAGCTGGCCAGAACCAACTCTTGAGTGAGTCTATTCCACATTTTCACAGCTCTTACAAACAACCAGTGGAATTGGTACTATTTGTATGAAAATAAAAAATATGCAAAATATGTGTGCACAAGGTGTCAATTAATTAAAGTATTTGTTCACCAATGCCAGAAGTCTGCCAAGCAAAATAGGCGAGTTGGAAGCTTTGGTGCATGAAGAGAAGTATGATTTTACATGATTGGCCATTAATATTCCTGGCTATGTTCTCTATCTGTGTTTCATTGCAGAGATCTCCATTCAAGTCATGTCCCATACATGCCAAACAGGAAGTGAGAGGAAATGCCTGAAAATTAAGAGATTTCCTTGGGGACCCCTAGGTTACCAGAACTAGTGTCCCCATTGAAAGTTTTCCTTCTATTACTTTTCCGAGACAACCCAATATTTCAGATTTACTTTCACTAATAATGGTAAATAGGATAAATAGAGAGGGTGAATTTCCTTAATGGGGGAACAGACAGCAATAAAAACTGACAGGTCTTATAAGGCCTGCCATAGATGGTTCAAATCTTTGAGATTCGAACTATGTGTGGGCAGGCTAAATGCACCAAGTTGATTGATCAATCAACTTGGGTACAACCAGCCTGCTGTTTTCACTTGCGATTATCGCTAGAGGCTGCTAAAGCCGCTAGTAATAATCACTGTCTTCTCTCTGCGGGAACGGCTATTCCCCTGTCAACACTGTCTGTATTGATGGGGGAATCGTGAAAATTTCCCTCCTGCAACCACGAAAGTAAAGAAGGAAATGTGCACTTGCTATGGCCTTCCTAATCCCTCTTCGCTCTTTCTAAAACTAAAAAAAGTTTTGCCTTTAGTTACACTTTAACTTAAACCCATATTAAAAATATTCAAACAGCCTTGATACTACCTTTCCTGGAAAAGATAATGCTCCAGGCTCCCTTCAGTGCTGATCACACGACCAAACACCTAAGCCTTTAGTCACATAATCTCTGCTGAAGATGAAGATAAAACAATCTAAAATCTGATCCTACCCTTTTACAGAGATCAGATGACCAAACTAAAACAAAGTTGAAGATTAGTCTAATCTGTACAAGAGATCCCAGAAACTGATTCAACCAATGTAAATACGAGGTCACTAAAATAACTAAAAAGTCCTACAGTATCCTTTGTAGCTCAAACAGTCCCAGTTGTCCTGCTCAGTCAGTTGAGTGGAGCGTAGGATTGGGATGCACCAGCAGCATAAAGTAGAACTTAAATAAAAAGATTAAAAGTAGAATTGCCCTCACAATGATAAGTGAAATCATTTTTGTAGCCTTTTACAATGTTTAATGTTTTTTTTTTAACCACTTGGCCTTCAGAGGATTTACCCCCCTTCCTGACCAGGCCATTTTTTGCTATACAGCGCAGCGTTACTTTAACTGACAATTGCACGGCCATGCAATGCTGCACCCGAATCAAATTGATGTCCTTTTTTTTCCCACAAATAGAGATTTCTTTTGGTGGTATGTGATCGCCTCTGCATTTTTTATTTTTTGTGCTATAAAAAAAATGACTATTTTGAGAAAAAAAAAAAAAATATTTTTGACTTTTTGCTATTAACCACTAGCCTACAGGGCACTTATACCCCCTTCCTGCCCAGGCCAATTTCCAGCTCTCAGCGCTGTCACACTTTGAATGACAATTGTGCGGTCATGCAACACTGTACCCATATGAAATTTTTATCTTTTTTTTGTGACAGATAGAGCTTTATTTTGGTGGTATTTAATCACCTCTGGGGTTTTTATTTTTTCTTAAACAAACCAAAAACCACTGAAAATTTTGAAAAAAAAAAGTTTTTTTTCTTAGTTTTTGTTATAACATTTTGTAAATAAGTGATTTTTCTCCTTCACTGATGTGCGCTAATGAGGCTGTAGTGATGGCCACTGATAAGATGCACTGATGGACACTGATAGGTGGCACTGATGGGCACTGATGAGGAGGCACTGGTAAGTGGCACTGATGGGCATTGGCAGGCATCACTGATGGGCACTGAAAGGCAGCACTGATATATGGCACTGAAAGGCAGCACTGACAGGCAGCACTGACTGGCACTGTTAGGTGGCACTAACTGTCACTGATAGGCAGCACTGACTGGCACTGATATGCGGGCACTGATGCGCACTGATAGGCGGCACTGACTGGCACTGATAGGCGGCACTGACTGGCACTGATAGGTGGCACTGATTGGCAGCACTGATAGGTGGCACTGATTGGCATTGATATGTGGCACTGACTGGCACTGATGGGTGACACTGAAAGGCAGCTCAGATGGGCACTGATGTGCACTGGTGGGCACTGATATGTGGCATTGATGTGGCACTGATGGGCACTGGCAGGTGGCACTGTTCAGCACTGACAGCTGGCACTGATGGACACTGACAGGTGGCACTTCTGGGGCCACACTGATCATCAGGGCACACTGATCATCAGTGCCCTGATGATCAGTGTACCTGTCCCCTCTGCGGAATGCCGATTACCGGCTCTTCTCTCCTCTCGAGCTGTCAGCGTGACAGCTCAAGTGGAGAGAAATGCCGATAACTGGCATTTCCCTGTTTACATGTGATCAGCTGTGATTGGACACAGCTGATCACATGACCGAGCTGACATCTTCGGCTCTTTCCATGGATCGGTGATCCGCTGTGTCCGAGGGACACAGCTTGCCGCTGTTTGCCGCGCTGCGCGCTCCCTGAGCCGCGCCTGCGTGGTGAGAGATGGAAAGACGTCATATGATGTCCTATGTGAATGAGAGAACCACCTTGCACCCGTCATTGGACTATATGGTGGGCGGGAGGTGGTTAAACATGTCCAGTAAAAAATTTTTGAAAAATCAAATTTCTTCATAAATTTAAGCCAAAATTTATTCTGCTACATGTCTTTGCTAAAAACAATCCCAACACGTGTAAATTAATTGGTTTACATGAAAACTATAGCATTTACAAATTGCGGTATAGATACTGGAATTATTTTTTTATACTAGTGATGGCGGCGATCAGCAACTTATAGCAGGCCTGTGGCGGGCAATCTGACACTAGGGAATAACTGACTAACTGTCACTGACATCCCCAGTGACACCAATACAGTGATCAGTGCTAATAAAAAGCTAATAATGACACTGGGCATGAAGGGGTTAATATCTGGGGCAATCAAAGGGTTAGCTGTGTGCTGTGTGTTGTTTTATTGTGTGCTGTGCGTGTGCTTTACTGTGTAAGCACGCTGCTTTGTAGGGCTCTGCTATGCAGAGCCCTACAAAGCAATGTGCAGGAGCTGACAGGGGAGAGATCTGTATTGTTTACATACAGGTCTCTTCACCATTGGTGATACATGGCGATCGCCGGGTGCCAGCGGGGAATCACTGGTCGGGACCCTGTGATAGACAGGTGAGGCCACCAATGCAAAAAAAAAAAAAATATATATATATATACAGTATATATATATATATATATACACACACACACGTGATTTTGCGCACCCCTGCCGCCCTGTAGCAGTATTTCTGCTATAGGGCGGCGGGAATGCGGTTAATACCTTAATCGTATTTAACAATTACAGTATTAAACAAAGACACACTGCTATCTTTAAGCTACAGTGACAGTTGAAAGACTTATTTTGTGAATGAAACCTCCAGCCTATATGTAATCACTATGTCATAGAGATTATGGCACGGTGAATGCTGATTGCAAGATGGCAGTGTGCCTCTGTTAATGATCATGACGAAACCACTTTGATTTGCTCATTATTGGGGACCAAAGGTGTCAGCAGCAGAATTGGACAGCAAGCTACTGTACACAGTGTCAACTGCTACCTGTCTGAGGGAAAACATAGATTAATGTACCCTCAGCATGGAGCATCATCTACAAATTGTGCGATGCAAAGGGTAAAATAAGCCTGTGATGAAAATAAAGTTCATACACAATGAACCCAATACATTTTGTTTATTATCTAAATTGTATCATTATTTTTTCTATAATATCAGTTCTATTATTTAAGTTGTTAAGTGTGTTATTACTTGTGAATTCTGAGAACTGCCATTTGAAATCAAAATTCGTTTCAGTTATTGACCAACCATGCAGGGCTGCAGCGCCTGTGAAACAGAACAAAGAACCCTCTAACTCAGGGGTGTCAAACTAGCAGCCCTCCAGCTGTTGTGAAACTACAAGTCCCATCATGCCTCTGTGTAAGGGATTTCCGGTGAGATGAATCGTGAATAGAAATGCGCATGCGCATAGAAACGGCCAGAAGAGTGGTCGGTTGTGTGCATAGCGCATGTGCACGTGCACACGCACAGTGAAGATTGGCACCAGGCGGGCTATTTAAAGAGTGCCTCTGCCTATGATAGGTGCTGACTGGTCTTCAGCTCCCCCGTGTCCTGCTTGTTCCTGTGTGATTCCTTTGTTGCTGACCAGCTTGTTCCTGACCTGACTCTGTTTGCTCTCCTGATTGATACTGGTTGCTGATTTCGGCTCTGCTCCTGACCTTGGCTTTGCTTCTGATTCTGTACCGTGCTGTCCGCCCATTGATGACCCTGGCTATTCCTCCTGTTTCTTACCCTCACTACCTGCCTTGCTCTGGTGCACACCTGGCGATCTACAAAACCCGCTCTGCTTGTTACTACTGTGCCTGAATCAGAGGATCATCAGTCTTCCAAGGTCATCATCTGCAAGAGCTGCAAACAACATCTACTGGCACTCTTGTCCCCCTGGTCCCTAGACTACCTCTGTTCCAACTCCAGTGGGGTCAGGGCTAGTGACACAAGTGAGGCCGACCTCGTCATTTCAGTCTCCCATCAGGTACGTGACACTCTGCCTTTGGGAGTCATGCTTGTAACTGTCAATCTTGCAAAGCCTCGTGGGACTTGTAGTTTGGCAACAACTGGAGGGCCACCAGTTTGACCCCCATGCAACTCATCCAATTCTCTGATGGCATTTACAGAGCATGCAGAGGGTCTTGCTAGGCAAGCACTGTTTTCCTTTATTCCTTCCTCATACCAGTGCCGATATTACCACTCTGCAGTCAGCTTGACAGGAGCCTATTTTTGAACAGAAATATAGAAAATAGAAAAGTGTTTAAGTCTAAATTCAGCCAAAACTTATTTTATACATTTTGGATAGAGTTAGAAAAAAACTGAACCACTGCCATTTTTTTAACTGCTTTGGAGAGACTCCCCTTACTAAGGGTTTGTGTCAATAAGACATTCATATGCATTTACTTGAGAGGCTTCTGAGATCAATCAGAGATCATTCACAAGTGAATTTGACCTGAAGTTGACTTGCTTGGATAGGAAGAGAAGCAGTTCTGACGTGAACAGTAGCCCAGTGACACAGGCCCTCACCGTCCTGGTGACATTGATTTCACAAAACAGGAAGTGAAATGAAATGAGCTACAGGCACACAGACAGCAATATAAAGCTAGTGGGATTCTAGCCTTCACCTACTCTACTACTAGCAAAACATTTTTTAGCTCTGTTGGCGCTGTTATTTGAAAGTGTCCCTCACTAGCTGCCTGGTGAATCTATTGATACCGGGATAGGAAGTGAGGTAAAATTTCCCTAACGCAGTAAAACCCCACTCTATACAAAAGTAGAACATACAAGGAGATACATTTTAGCTCTTGCGTGGCTATTTTGCTTCCGTGTTCCCCCACCACCACTGGGCACGTGTGGCTTCTCTGGCTGTGCAGGCTTAGTAGCACACCTGCTCACTCCTGCAGATGCCAGCATGTTTACGGTAATGGGCATGGGTTGGAGGTGGACTTCTCACAATCCTGCCCATACATAAGGGAAGCTATCTTGGACTAATGCTGTCTATTCAATTTCAGACAAGGAGATGCATGGTTACCACTGGTAAAGAAGGAGGTCATTAAATATTACTTTTCAGCCTGTAGGCCTTCTGGTTTGTAGGACATGCCGAGTACATTTTTTAGGCCTCATGCACACAGGACATTTTAAAAACTCTCTTCCTCTTAGCAGCAGCGTTTTGGCAGAATATTGTCCAAATATTTACAAGCATTTAGGTGCATTTACAAGTGTCGAGCGTATGGCCATTAATTCACTTCCCTTTTATAATAGAATAATATTTATATTTATTTTGGCCATTGAAATGAATTAATGTTCAAGCGCTAAACGTGCCTAGCGGTAAATCATGTTTAGTGTGTATAGGTGCGTTTACACACGCCAAGTGGTTTTATGCTAAAACGCTGCTGGCCCTGGGTAAACTCTACTGCTACTAAAAGCTTAGTAGCATGGACACATAGGATAACATGGAGGGAAGTTTGGAAGCAGTAAAAAAATCACCTGACACCCCTAAAAGTGGCTGCAAAAATGCCGTGTGTGCATGAGGCCTTAAGATGATTTCTATTGCTCTATTTCTTTCCTTCATAGAGCTTTATATCTTAGCCTGTGACCAGGGGTGGACTGACAACTCATGGGGCCCCCGGGCAATAGGGGATCATGGGGCCCCTGTGTCCTTGCCTAAACTCAAAAAAGCCTATGAAAAAAGGTACCAGGGGCATCTCATGGGGCCCCCTACTGACCCCGGGCCCTCGGGCAGTGCCCGAATTTTCAAATGGTCAGTCCGCCCCTGCCTGTGACATACTTGTGCTTGGGAATTCCTGCTCAGTGGTATGTTTTCCCCTGTGGTGACACATATAAGGGATATACAAGGTACATTTATTTTAGACTGAGGTCTATTTGAGCCCATTTATTTTTGAATGTTTTGACTTTAGGGAGTTAAGATGTGATAGCTCTGTGGTCTGAGCCCCCTGATGTTCACCCAGCCTCCTTAGGTTGCCATAACCTTGGGTCTCTACTCCTTCCCTGGCTTGTGGTTGTACAACACCATATTTTTGTTTGTATATGACCTAAGTCATATTTATTTTGATGGATATCATATGGTAATTATATAGCTGCATGTAGATCTTTGTTCATACTTTGTACACATTTTTTTGTTACACCAACACCTTGAAGACTCCTGAAGAAGCACAATCCTTGAAACACATCGAGATGAAGCATCTCTTTCCCCCAACTCTTCAGCAACATTTGATCTGTATCTGCTACTTTGGATAATATATGCTATATGATTATGTAATTGCTGGTTTGCTCTGACATCATCATAATGGGTGGGACCATGCAAGGTGCACGACCACACCATGTGACTGTAATGCACTTTCAGTCTTCTGACTGCATTTTGGCTATTTGGTTTTTAATACACAAGGTTTAATAAATGTATGAATTT